GAGGAGAAGAGAAGAGAAGAGAAGAGAAGAGAAGAGAAGAGAAGAGAAGAGAAGAGAAGAGAAGAGAAGAGAAGAGAAGAGAAGAGAAGAGAAGAGAGCGAGACATTGATTTTGATCTTGTGATACACAAATCCCGGAATTCATACCCCAGAGTAGTCTAGGTCCCCCACAAAGGGACTTGTCTCCCAGCCTCACAGGCCAGCTTCCTGCCCGCATCTTAGAGGCTTGCTGCCCAACTAGGCTGAGCTCAGGGAAGTAGTAAGAGGCCTTTGTGGGGAATGTGGATGACAGTGGCCTTGAGATGTGTCCTCACGGCTAGAAGCAGTCCTGGCACAAACCACACCCTAGGCAGGAAGCTGCCCCCAAGCCTCCCTTGTCTTTCTCAAGGTCAGGAATCTGCATTTCATTCAGTTTCAAAGGCCAGCCAGGTTCTAGCAAAACACTGATCCATGGCCTAGTTGGACGTGAAGGTAAAAGGGTCTGCTGTGCCTCCAGGGCCCCCAACCCTTGCGGGACCCTCTGATGTTTCAAACACACAGAGAAACAAATGCAGACTCTTCAATGTAAAATATCCCTCTCTTAAAGAGACACTCCTTTAAAACACAAAGGTAACCTTCGGTGTGCACAAAACTATTTGCAGAGTCCACTGGGTCTTTCAGCTGCCAGTTTGTGACCTTGGACCTGGGACATGAAGTCACGTCCTTAGCGTGGCGTCAAAGCCTGACAGCCATTAACGGTCCTGTCACCCTGGCTCACTTCAGCCATTCCCAAGGATGGCTCCCAATCCATCCGGGGACGATCAAAGAAAGTCAGGTGTGGTTGCTCATGCTTGAATCCCAGTGCTTGGGAAGCTGAGGCAGGAGGACCACCATGAGTGTGAGGCTGCCTTGAACTGGTTCAAAGCTGGTCTGGGTGACATAGTAAGACCCTCTCTAAAAAACAACAAAAACACAAAACGGAGGGTGTGCGGAATGTCGGTGGCTCAGGAACCTGCCTGTTTTTCTCAGCGAAAGAATTAGATTCTTCTGATACAGCTATCAGGCCATATCCATTCCCTGCTTAAGACCTCCTCACTGCCTTTATGCTCTGTCCATACTCTGGTCTTGAACCCGCCAGTCTCAAACAACAGTAGATGTGTAACTCGGCTCGTGCTCTGGCTCAGATGGCAACGACCTCGGTATCGCCCGAATCTAACACATTTCTTCAGGCCCAGGCATTGCGTTCTAAGCCTTTTCCTCCCAGGGATTCTGCTGTTCTTTGCAATAACTGAGGAAGGTGAGTCCTCTCTCTAGCCCCATGGCACAGTGGGGAAACTGAGGCCAGAGAGTTGAAACTAGGTCCCTAGCATGCAACCTAGGATCCCCTCCTGCAGGAAGCTACCCTCACCCTCAAACCCCACTTTTTTCGCCCCGTTGGTGTCCTCACTGTTCATTTTCCGCCACTCAGCCATGCCACCCCCTGTGCTCACTGCCACATGCCAGGGCCTCATGAAGGCATGTCGGATGGAAGGAAGCTAACTCTTGGCCAGCGTGGTAAGAACAACCTACGGCTTCCCGGAAGCCCCTGGGATTCTTGCTCTCTGCCCTGCCCCGTGTGGTTTGCCCAGCTTTCTGATGGTGAACTGCTAGCAATTGCTGGAGAGGGTAACCACCTCAATGTCATCATTATTGCTCCCAGAGCTCTTGAGGCTGACGGACCCAAGGCTACTGGCATCTGAGAACATATGGTGTGTGCTGAGGGTGAAAACTCCAGAGCCACACTCCCTGGTTCCAACACACTCAGGTCACTAGTCCAGTGCCTCTGTTTCTCCATCCTCACAATGGGATCACAAAAGGACCAACTTCAGGGGATTGTAGATGGAGTCCCGCGATTAATAATTTTTCTCTGGATGGCTTCATCTAAACAAATCGGCCCATAGGGACGTTCCTCCCTGATCTTACTGGAGTCTCTCCTCCTTCCTCCTTAAAGCGTGGTCCACATCTTTGTGGTGCTGACTGAAATGTCCTCCTCTGTGCTGACCTTGAGTAAAGGGACCCTTGGAGGCAGCCACGCTGAGCGCCCTCCCTCTGTGCCCTGCCTCATCTCTCCCCTCCTCAGAAGCTGGCCTCCTTTCATTCTATTGTCTTTGATCCTCTCTTTAGATGCTTCTTGGCGGGAGATAAAATATTAGTTGATTGGAAAACACATCGCACTAACGTTTACAGAGTATAAAGTAGGTGGGTTGTAACCAAATTTACTTTTAATTTGATCGGGAACCGAACTCCACAGGCAGTCCTGGCTGATTTGAATTTCTACTACCAGCTATAAACTGTGAGACAGCTGGGCCCGAGACAACTTGGGACTCCCAGGGAGTGCTGTACTGTAAACCAGAGTATGGAAACCAGCAGCCAGAGTATAGATGTAGATGCTTGTTCACCTACGCACACATGAGATCACAACCCACAATCCATGCCCACACTACACAGATATGTGCACAGGTAAAGATTGCCATAACCCCCTGCACAGGATGCAGACATACAGTGTTCATGTAGAGTGTGCACACAGAGTGAACAGAATTCATACACATGAGTCCACAGTGCTGTTTGTGAGAGCTGTTTGCCACCACGCTCATACACAGGGGGCATTCACGTGAACACAGCCAGATCCCATGCTTACATGCGATGTGCCCATGTTACATGCACTGTGCAGACCATGTGCATGGATGTTTGCATGGCATAAAAATATGTAAGACATTTATAAGTGATGTGCACACTACACTTCTACAAGCTACCTACAAAGATAGGTGTAGTGTATATACATGTTACACATAGAATGAGCCCTTCAGGCACAAACATATACACTGTACATTACAAGCACGCATGCACACACACACACATATCACATATACAGTCTGTGTATCCATGCATACTCTACCCCTCACTTTCAAGTGAATGGAAATCCCTCTCCCTCTCTCTCTTTCTTCCTTCCTCCTCCTCAGCCACTGCTCCTCCCTCCCCCGTGCCCCAAGAGAGGCCAGGCCTCCACTTCCTCCAACTGCACGGTGTGCTCCGGGAGGGGCGTCTGTCTACTCACTGTTTTTTGTGCTTCTTCTCTTCCCGTCGTTTGCTTTTAGGGCTACAGGAGCTAAATGAGAAACGGCCAGTTAATTGAAGGCTGAAAACACAGCAGAGCACCAAGTGTAGTTCCAGATTAAACACAAGCAGGTTGTTCAAATGCCAACATCTTTATGCAGTGAGTTAGGCCAGGGATCCTGGCTCCTGCCCCTGTGCTGAGCACAGGGCGCTGAGGAGGCCAAGTTCACTCGAGAAGGTTAATAACAGCAATGGTGCTGAAGATCACAGCAACAACACCTGCCATGCTAAGAGGATTGAGTGCACACGTGTGAACAATCTCACCCTACTGCCCCCACCACCCCTGGGTGGAGGCGCAGCTTGTAAAAGCCCATTTTAGAGATGTGGAAATGAAACCTCTGATTGGCTAAGACCCTGAGGTGAGATCACACAGCCGAGCTGGGGAATGGGCCAGACCGTGGTCCTCTGTGACTGCTGGTCAATCAGTTTAGAAGGGGGTACAACAGCCAGAGAGATAGATGAAGGCAGATCGGGTTTGGTAGATTATGAAACATTCTGCCCATGAATATTAGAGTACCAGAGCCCTGGGGCATGGATAGAATGAGCAGTGATGAGCCAGGACCCCGGTGTAGACAACCAGAAGTCTGAGAAAGTCTGAGCCTGCTAGATCAAGCCAGATTAGCTTCACGGGTTCGCCAAAAACCCATTGCTGTCTACTGAGGTCCTGGGAGTGGGCGGGGCATTAATTTCATCTTATGACGCCACCACACCAAGTTTGAGTCCCACCTCTGCTGCTCAGGTGAGCGACATCAGACAGGTGACATGCTCTCTCTGAGACCGCTCGCCTCAACCATGCAAGGAGGAAGCCACAGCCTAAGCTATGTGACCGACGGGATGGGTTCTCACTGGTAGCCAGTGATACTGGGAATGACAGTTCGCTCATCAATGAACGCATGGAGGCTTTGCCCTCTCTGAACTGCTGCTCTAGATACAGCTGATACTCCTGAAGAGGCCACTGTCACCTGTCAACAGCCCTTAGCTGACAGATTTGGCTCTGAACTTTTTGGCTGTGGCCCTGGTCTCTCTTGTCTTAGTCTCAGTTTCTCCATCTGTCGAATGGGAACCACAAACACACCCACGGCTGAAGGCTGAGATGGGTGGCGGAAAGAGCGTAGCGTAGGGCCCGCTTCCCATGAGTCCCTGTGGGTGGTGGAGCTTCAAGTTGCTACCGCCATGTTCTCTACCCCTTGCCCAGATGTAAGAAACTTAGTGGTGGAGTAATGGCGCCCATGTCTCCTAAGAGCCTTGACTTCCAATTTCTGGGCAGAGGTTGGCCCAAGAGCACTGCTCAGCCCCAAAGCTGGCTCTAACGGTTCTGGGAAACCAACCCAGGCTTTCATTGTTTGAGGGAACTGAGGCTCGGGAAGGCAGAAGGGAACCCAGGGACGGAAGCCCGCCCTGGGCATCCGTCCAGAGCAAGCCTGCCGAAGCGGAAGGCCGAGTAAGCCGCCAGAAGCAGCGAGAGTCTTACCTGTGTCTCCTCTTCTTGGAAAAAGACCTGATTTGAAGGAAAGGGAGAGGGAGGGAAGACAGAGGGGAGGGGAGGGGGAGGGGGAAGGGGGGGAGAAAGGGGTGGGGAGTGGAGAGAATAAACACAGGTGAGTCTGAGCAGTTCTTCCTGGGCGATGCTTTAGGGTGATGGGCTCTTGCCCGGCAGGACTCGGGACCCCTAACCAAACCTCCTCCCCCCATCAGATTTTGAAGAACACGAAGCCCGCATGGGAAATGCTGCCTGCCTTGTGTACTGAGGTTCAGGTCAAAGCCACCAAGCACATGAAAAATTGTCAGCAAGCCTCTCCCAGATGAAGCCGGAGCGGGGCGGCATGGGGAAGTTCTCTGTGCTCCCCAAGTCCTCTTGCCACCTGCCTTGGTTGTAGATTTCTCCTCTTCCTCTTTCTCATATTCCTCCTCCCCCTCCTCCTCCTCCTCCTGCTCCCTCCTCCACACGAAGAACCCCTGCTAGGCATCGGGCTCTGCACTAAGCTCTGGGCATATGCACGCTCTTTCTGTCCATCCCTGTGGCATACTATGGAGGCCAGTGAGGGTCAGAACTTACTGCCCGGTCACCTCTGTCGGCACCCCCTCCCCCAGGCTCCCCGTCTCCTGCCCTCCCCACAGTCTGCAGCAGTTTCTGGGTCCAGCAGGCTGAGCTACTGAGCTGCTCCTTGGTGGAGCCCAGAGCTCTCCACCCTGTGATCCCCGTTGACCCGGCGGATGGGAACAATTTGAAAGCCATAGTTGGGTTTTGCTCACTGTTTTATTTCTGGGTTTTGGAATCTTGAGTGTGAATAGAGGTGAAAGTGAAGTTTTTAAAAAGATCTCAAACCATGATATTAGGAGAAGGAAAGGCCCAAACGCGTCTCCACTGCCAGCTGCCACCTCCAAAACCAACAGCTGCCATAAACCAAACATTTCATGAACACAGACATGGAGAAGCTGGACTTGGGGGAGAGAGTGCCCAGAAGGAGGCATCAGGAAGAGCCACAGTATTCATTTCCAGTCTCCCTTTCCTTCCTCTCTCTCCAGGGTCTCACTAAATTGCCCAGGCTGGCTTTGAACTTGTGACCTTCTTGCCTCAGACTCATAAGTAGCTGGAATTACAGGCCTGGAGTGAGAAGCCACCTGGCTTTTGAGATCCAGGCGGGGTAAAAGTCCCCCACACTGGGACCACCTGCTCAGCACAGGCAGGTGACGAGTGTCCACCTACACTCATGGGCATGCCCTTGCCTTAGCATCAGGCTCCACGGCAGGAATGATGTACCGCTCTAAATTAGCCACATCTCACTAATCACTCACAACTCTAGACAGGTGGTGGATGTAGCCAGTCGGGCCAAACTGAGGTTGAGACCTTTCTAGCAACATGGGGTGAGACGTGCCCAAAACCCCTGGACTGAGAAAACTCTTATTTGGTGCCACTTTGAAGGCGAGGAAAACCCAAAATGACCTCTGACCTTTGGTAACCATACACAGCTAAAGCATGCAGGGGCATTGGACGATGTGGGTGAACAAGAATAAATCACAAGCCGCTCTTTCCCTACAATCCACAGCCAACTGCAAGGCTGGGACGACGTACAGAGTGGAGATTGCTGACTGTCCCATGGACACAGAGCTCCTCCGAGCTGACTGAGGGTGGCCCGTGGGAAGTGGCTCCGTGAAGATGGAAATTTCTTTGCAGAAGAATGGTACCATGGGAATTTTGCATTGCAATATTTCTCAATGAAACGTGTTGGCTCGGCCCCACTGGCCACACTGGCTGCCAGTCTTTCCTCCTCTGTAAACACACATGTGCACTTGACACCATGCCTGTGTGTGCATGTATGTGTGTATATATGTATGTGTGCATGTATGTGTGTATATATGTATGTGTGCATGGATGTGTGTATATATGTATGTGTGCATGGATGTGTATATATATGCATGTGTGCATGGATGTGTATATATATGTATGTGTGCATGGATGTGTGTATATATGTATGTGTGTGAATGTGTGCATGCATGTGTGTATATATGTGTGTATGCATGCATGGATGTGTGTAAATAAGTCTCTGTGTATGCATGTATGTGTGTGTATATATGTTTGTGTGTGTGTGCGCGTGCGTGCATGGATGTGTGTAAATAAGTCTGTGTGTGTGCATGTGTACATGTATGTGTGTGTATAGTAAACACCTGGACTGAGAGTCCAAATCATAAGAGGCCTTTCTCTGATCCTCCCTGTTCCCCACCCAAGGTGAGGAATCCCTAGATGTCATGTTCTTCAACATGACCCTGCCTTCTAGGACATAGCCGGAGCACTCACAGGCCCTTTCCTGACACTTTGGAACATTGATGAAGAGATCACTGTCGGCTTCTGGCTTGGCCTGTGATGTGGCAGACATGGGACAGGACACAGGCCCCTCCCCTTAAGGACCAGGAAGCAGAGGGAACTGCCTGGGTTCCTCAGCTTTTCACTCCTGATTCCCAGCCCCTCTTATAGGCCCGGCAGGTCCCCCAAACCCTCCTGCTTCCTTCTAATCAGCTCCCTGTTCTAGTCCGTGTTAGATTTAATGGATCTATCCCCCCCCCCCCCCAAGAGTCCTAACTCTGACGCAAACCAGTGAGAAAACTGCCATAAAGCGAGTGTGCCACACAGACGATTTGAAGTTCTTCCTGGGGCCCTGACCCCTGCAGCCCCTGGGGTGTCCCTGTCTGTGGAGGAGGAAGGACAGTACCTGTGTCTCTTATGCTTCTTGGAGCTTTTCTTCTTCTTCTTCTTGACTGGCGATGGGCTGTAGGATGGGGACCTGTGGGGAGGGAGGCACGTTGCTATGGGTCCCTTTTCCGTCTTTATACGACGTCTCGGCCCTTCTGGGGACCATATTCAGGGACCGTCCCCACACTGCTAGTAGTTTGCATTTGTATTAGATGTTACGTGCCTGACCCCGTTTAATCTTTCTTAGGTTGATATAATTGCTTTGCTTTCATTTTCAGAAAAAAAAAAAGTGAAATTCAGAGCGGTAAAGTGGCCTGCTCAAAGACACACAGCCAAGACATGCATGGTCTGAGATTCGATCAGAGTTCTCTCTGTTCCCAGGTTTGTTTCATTATCACAGAACAGCTACCCTGTTTTTTTTTTTGTTTGTTTGTTTTGTTTTTTGTTTTTTGTTTTTTGTTTTTTTCGAGACAGGGTTTCTCTGTGTAGCTTTGCGCCTTTCCTGGAACTCACTTGGTAGCCCAGGCTGGCCTCCAACTCACAGAGATCCGCCTGCCTCTGCCTCCTGAGTGCTGGGATTAAAGGCGTGAGCCACCACCGCCCAGCATACAGCTACCATCTTAGTTAAATCGGAAAGGCTTTCTTGGTCTCCTCTGTGGCTTTCCCGACAAGCTCCGCCCATCCCATATTCCTTGGTCTGGTCTCTGCTGTCTCCTTGGGAAGCCTCTGTCCCTGAAGTCACAGCATGGGGGCAGCCACCAAAGAGACACCTGGGGAACAGTTTACCCTCTCTAGGGCCAAGGTGATGACTCAGCCTGACGCTAGGGTGACCTGATTTCCCATCTTGACCAGCAACTCACAGGCCCTCTGGGAGGATCACAGCTTGTCTCTCGGGTTTATTTCCTCACAGAGAAAGCGGGCTTGGGCTGGAAACAGAGGCTGCAAGCTCAGGGCCAGCAGGAGCCTCTCTAATGAGGTAGACCAATGAAGCGGGCTGGCTGGGAGACAATAGGGAGCGGTGAGGACTGCGGAGAGCCAGAGACCAAGCAGCGGCCTCTCAGATGGGGGCTGGGGTTCCGTGTAAGAATGCAGCCCCAGCCTGTTAGCACTCAGGCATTCACACTGGCCCGCTGCTCTCAGGGACCTAGCAGGGCAGACACAGCAGCAGTGGCAGCCAAGATGTGACACTGTAGTTGCTACAGCCACTGAGAACGCTCTCCCTATGCGCATGCGTCGTATCCTCTTATAAAATGCAAGCCTTTCTCGCCCCCCGCCCCTCCACTCTGCTCTTGCTCAGAGGCCGCCTCTGCACCTCTACCCAATAAACCTCCCGTTGTGAGCTCTGTTGCATGGTGTGACTCTGCGGGGCCCCTTGGCTCCAACCCGCCAAGGTCGCCTTCTGCCACTAAACTATCACACAGCCTCCCACAGCCTCTGCCTTTTCCACAGAAGGCTCCAGAAACCCGTATTTTTTTTTCGTATGAAATATTCCAATTTTTAAAGAGTACACACTAATTTTGTTTTCTAAAAACAAAAAAAAAACAACAACAACAAAAAACTTGGCAGGCTCAGCAAAACAGATCAGCAAAGAGAAATGGATGAGGAACAACTCAACCCTTGAGGAACCGCAACCGTCCCCAGGCTCTCGCTCAGGGGACACTTGCTGGAGGGATAATTAGGGATAATCCCGCGGCGCGCTGTGTCCTCCTTCCTCTAAGTTCCGCATACTTCTCAAATCGGGAACTCCATGCACCCCGAGCCCACCCCCTTCCTGACAATAGCTGGAAAGTGGGGGTGTCACCCCGCACTACCCCGAGTCCCACTTGGGTCCATCCTTAGGAGGTGGCCTGAGTAGGTGTGTTGGAGAAAACCCCTGTAAACCTGGGCCGTCCCGATGTTGCTCTCTGCTGCCCCCTGCAGGCTTCTATAAGCGCTGCCTGGGTGTGATTCCCTGGCTCCCCTGGAGCCGGAAGACTAGACAAGGTTTTCCCGAGGGGCGCTGGGAGTATTTTTCAGCGTGAAAACGTCTTGAAAGAGTTATGTGTAGAAAGAAATTCAAGGAGCTCAAAAGAGCCACGAGCTGGTATCGATATAAACATTAATCCTGGCTCTAGAGAGGAGTCCTGGGAATCAAATCCAAGGCAGATTCTGACGTCCCATCCTATGAGCTTTTTTAATCTTCCCATCTCTGAAATGGGCATAATAAAGCCTGCCTGGCAGAACGCGGCTGGGAATGAAAGATGGGTAGCAAGGTGTTTGGCACAAGCCTCTGCACTCCGTGAGTTTCAGTCTCTCAAGTTCAGCATCCGTGGTGATTGCGGCTCTTTATGAATTGGTCACATACAACTGCTGAGCACCGTGTCAGCTGCCTCCGTATTTCCCTCCTCCTCTTCCTTTATTTATTTATTTTTTTGTGATACAGAGAGTCTCACTCTGCAGCTCGGGCTGACCTAGAAGGCAACCAGGTTGGCCTCAGACTCACAGCAATCCTCAGACTCCCAAGTGCTGTTATTACCTGCACGAGCCACCATACCCAGAGTCCATTTCTCTTCTAATGCTCACCAGGAGGTTGGTATTATTGCTATCATTTGCAGGAGAGGGGAACAAAAGGCGCAGGAAGGTGAAGCCCGGGGTACTAAGGTACTAAGGTACACAGGTACTAAGAGGCACAGAAGGCATTTGCCCCCCCCCCCCCAGCTGGAGTCACTGGCAGACTCTAAAGCGTTATTCCCCCTGTTCTGTTCCTTCCCCCGCCCCTGAGTCTTTGAAGTTTCATCTGTCTTCAGGACCCTCACCTCCTTCTCTTCTTTCTGGTCGATTTCTTCTTTTTCTTTTTCCCCCTGGAGGAAGGCGGTGGTGTCAGGTCCCTGTCTTGAGAGGCACTGTGGGAAAGGAGAAGGCAGCATGAGAGGGTCCCTTGGCTCCCTGGTCAGGGCTGTCACAGCCAGAGAAAGGGAGAGGAGCCAGCTCCTTGGCGACTCCAAAGACCCATGATGAGCATCTGATTGCCACCTCATGGCTGATTCGGTCACACCTCGGATTAAACATCTTAAATAAGGACTTAATGCACACCTAATGAGACAGACACTGTAGTTACCCAAATGCCAATTGATTATTTAAAACAAGGTTTATAGAGGTTAACTGCCCCTTAATAGATTTATTATTGAATTTGCAAATGGCTCACCTCGGTAAATAAATCACTTTAAAAATAATGAATTGGCAGTTCAGCCCGCTCCCTCCCCAAACCGTCCCGTCTACACTTCCTGCTGTAAATTTCACAGGAGGCAGAAGGTGTGTTGAGTAGAAGCTGATTATTAGAAGTGTATTTGCGCGGGTCTAATGTAACAAGATACATATCTGACACCGCTTCATGGAACCTCAGAAACCTCCGCTCTTCAGGAATAATTATTTCCCATTCAATTAAATTCAAACGCTCAGGGCTGCCATCAAATGAAGTCAAGTTATCTTGTAGAACTGGGGCAGGCTCCAGGGATGGAGAGAGAGAGAGAGAGAGAGAGAGAGAGAGAGAGAGAGAGAGAGAGAGAGAGAACACTATCCTATAGCAAAGAGGCAGCTATGGATTGAAATCTGTTTGAGAACGGAAATGTGAGCTCCGTTGGCCTTTACTGGAACAACTAGTGTTATTTTTATTAATTTAGTAGCAATGAAACTAGCCGTGGTATATTTATTGTGTACCAAGAGTTTTTATATCTTTTGACATAAAATATTTAGAAGGCGTTGCGTTTGGAGGCCAGAGGACAACTTTGGGTTTCATTTATTAGGTGTCATCCACTTTTTTTTTTTTTTTTGAGACAGGATCTCTCACTGGCCTGCAGCTGACCAAGTAGATGAGACTGACTGACCGGTGACTATCAGGGACCTCCTGACTCCACTTCCCCAACACCGGGGTCACACGTGTGGGCTGCCACACCTTGACTTTCTTTTTCTTTTTTTAAAACCTGCCCCCGGGAGTGAACTCAGGTCTTTGTAGTGACAAGGCAGAGCACTCAGTTGAGAAAGCCCCTCTCTAGGACAGGACACCAGGATGATTCTTGTTATTTCATTTCACAGGTGAAGAAAATGAGGTCCAGAGAGTTGCGCGGACTTACTGTTGGCCACACAGCCAGGAATCATCGAAGCTGGGACTCGAACCCCTGTGATTCCTGCCCTGTGAGCTGCCTCAGAACCCCAACTGCCTTCTACAGCCTTTAGAGCAGCTAGTGGCCCAACCCAATAGAACATCACAAAACTTTGTCATATTTCATTCCATTTGAAGAATCTGGATCATCAAGGTTGGCAGGGGAGATGATGAGGGGTTAGAATGTATGTTAAGGCCTCTTCTCCTCCAACAAATGGATATATATAATTTTTAAGAGATTCACTTTCAGAAAGTTAAAAATAAACATCATAAGGATGTTTAAGAATCAAATCCCGGCTACTGAAGTTTGCCTACATGTTATAAGGCACAAAGCACAATAGACCATCCAGAAAATGAGCCAGCTATTCTTAAAGGCACAGTGGGCGACTTCCAACTTTCTTTCTCCAAAGAGTGCTTGACTCCCAGCAAGAACCCAGTGAGCATTTGCCAAATGACCAAGTGACAGATGAAGGAGCCTGGCCGTGTGCTGAGTCACCTTGTTTCATAAGGGCACATCTGCTGGGAATTTGGGGTGGGGTGGGGTGGGGAGTTTAAAAGTGTGTCAAAAAATGAAGAAAGAATCCATTGTTAGGACCAAGATCTATCGTGGAATATTAATTTAAGATGTGTTACATTTGTTTAAGCTGTGGAACATTTGTTTAATGATGCAAAGATGTGTTGCATTCTTTTATGATTCATTTGTTTAACTCTGTGAAGCTGTGTTACTTTGCCTGCCTAAAACATCTAATAAAGAGTTGAACTGCCAATAGCTAGATAGTAGAGAGAAATATGTGGGGCCAGGTAGAGAGAAAAATAGAAGGAGAACTCTAGAGAGGAAGGGAGGAGCAAGAGGAAAAGGAGAAGAAGAGGAGGACACCAGGGGCCAGCCACACAGCCACACAGCCACACAGCCACACAGCCACACAGCTACACAGCCAGCCATGGAGTACGAGACAAAATGTAGTTAAAGAGGAACAGGATAATTTAAGTTAGAAAAGCTGTCTAGAAACAAGCCAAGCTAAGGCCAGGCATTCCTAAGAATAAGTCTCTGTGTATTTATTTGGGAGCTGGGTGGCAGGACCCCTAAGAGTAAAAACAAAACAAAACAAAACCCACAACTGTAAAGAGCTCTAACATCTATAACCCTGAAGTTTGAGAGGCAAGTGATCTGAGAACCAATGCCCTGGACTCAGGTTAAAATAATAGGGTAAAATTGAAAAGTCTTTAAATTCAGTAGACCTGAAGTCTGTGAGGTGATATGTCCCAAAGCCTTCATACACGTGGTCCCACATTTCCCTATCTCCCTGCCCCCCACTGGTTTATGGAATACATCACAGACTAGTAGTGAAGCACATGGTTGTTAGTGTGCAGGGGTTGGGTACACAGTGTTTGTATACCCTGGAGTTCTGTGTGTGATAGTTAATTACATGATCAGCAATGCAGCTGCTACAGGGGTGGACAGTAAGTTCAAGAGGCTAAGTCCACACTGTGGAAGAGGCAGGGAATACGTAAGCAGAGGTTAAGCACATGTGGATGAGGATAACCACTCAGCTACACGTATAGTTTTAAAATGTGCAGTGGTTGAGGATGTGGTGGTCATACAGCGGCTGAATCTGCGGAGGTCAAAGGTGAAGAAAATAGCAGTAAGAAATGATTGTTCTAGAAACTTGTAGACCTGGATCTGCACTCCAGTTCCCTTCCGAGCTCAGAGATTTTTCTAACATGTGCGGTCCTCATCGGAGAGGTGGGAATTAAACCAGGGACCTGGGGCATACATTTGCTGCCACCTGCCTTGGCCTGGCGCTGAGTACATTCACAGCTAGCACACCAGGTTACAGTCCCATGCCAGGTAACATCATTCCGATCGATGAGATGGTTGTCCCATTAGTTCGATAATGGAGCTGAAAAACCTCCCATCGACTGACGGTCTTGCAACACAGGGTGTCGCTCATGCATGTGTGGCGATGCTGGAGGAGGCAATCTACTGTGTTTACAGTCAGCTCAGACACAGGGTGAGCAACTATGTGCGGATCCTAGAGCCTGGTCACGCTAACAGAGGGCGGGGCTATCTAGTCACTCTATTATCGGAGTATAGAGAAATGCTTGCTTCAGGCAGAAGCTTTTCCACTTGGGTGTCTGCTTCCTGTCTTGATTTCACCGTCAGCTCTTGTGCTTGAGTGGACCTGGGCTGTCCCATTCACCACTGCCCTCAGAGCTGCAGGGTACAGTGTGAATGTGCAGAGGTGACACACGGCTTAGGCGTAGACTGGGTGACATCCTCTGGGTTTGTGGAAGTTCCCTCTAGGTGTTTGGACAACAATGTCTGCTGAGGACAGACTCTTCAGAGTGTGTCCCTGTCATTAAGTATAATCAGTATGACTTTTCGTATCACTAATATGATAGTTATTAATTATCATCATTACTGTGGCTTTTAACTCCACAGAGGATCAGTCACAGACAGAAGAAGACAAGAGGCCCAGACACACTGTACGGCTCAGTTGATAACATGGTATCATCATTTTTTTTCCTTTAGATTTTCTTTCTCAGAATCTTCTGCCCTGGCTCTCTGATGCTCTAAACCAGAATTTTTCTTTTTTTCTTTCTTTCTTTTTTTCCCTTTTTTTGAGGACCTCCTATGTGCCACGCCTACTGCCAGGATCCACAGGTACCCATTAAGGTTTGACTCCGAAATGTCCCCCACAGCTCCTGTCTGAACCCCGCTTCCCAGGCTGGTGCAGCTATTTTGGGGAGGTCACATGAGGTTTAGGAGTTGGAGCCTGGATGACGGAAGTAGGTCATCAGAGGTGGGCCTTTGAAGGTTACGCCCGCCCTGGTTCTGATCTGGCTCTCTTTCTGCACTCCGTCTTGGTCAACTGCTATCCCCTCATACCCTAACTGCCACAGAGGGGCAATTCTTTTAGACTTTACTCACCACAATCGCTAGAAATACCCCTGAAGCCCCGAGTCAAAAGAAACCTAGCCTCCCATGCTCTGTTTCTGTCAGGCACTCCAGTGAGTAGTGCAAAGACTACCACACTTGCCTGGTCTGCATCAATGCTCCCCTCCACTGTCAGAAAAAGATTTCCACATCTCCACTTACAGTTGTTTACCTGAGGTGTGGACCAGAGTTCCAAATATACCACCCACATTAAACAAACAAACAACAAACAAAAACAAGATTTATGGTGTGTGCTTATGATCAAAGCAAAAGATGATGGAGACAGAGTTATCTGGGGATCACTAGCCAGTCAGCCTAACCTAATCGGTGAGCCCTGGATCCATGTGAGAGACCCTGTCATAGAAAACAAGGTGAGCTGTGCCTGATTTCCACACACCCATGCACTACCCCAAGGTGTACCTACACACACTCTCACACATAAGCTCATGCACATGCACACATGTGCATACAGTCTCACACCCATGCACATACACACAGGCACACACACTCGCATATGCATGCACATACATATCATGAGTATGTTCAGATGAGACACTAATGGACTGGGCTGTATGAATGTAAGGTAGAAAATTAAAAACCAGGACGTAGACGGTGCATTGGCCCCTCCATTATCAACTGTAGGCTTAGTTTAGTTATTAAAAAGACTGGAGTTTCTTCATTATTAACATGTCTGTGTAGGGGAATACATGTACATGTGTCATGGCACACATGCTGAGATCAGAAGACAACTTACAGGGGTTGGTTCTTTCCTTCTACCATGCAGGACCTGGGGCTATACCCCTGGTCACCAGGCTTGTCCCTTCTACCATGCAGGACCTGGGGCTGTACCCCTGGTCACCAGGCTTGTCCCTTCTACCATGCAGGACCTGGGGATGCACTCCTGGTCACTAGGCTTGTCAGCAAGCATCTTCACGTCCTATGCTATCTTGCTGTCCTCAGCTAGAGTTTAAGACTTCACTGTTTTAACTTACTGGTCACCTTTATGAGCCTCAGTAAAATGCCACTTACCGGTGTCTAGTACGGTACCTGTCATCTATCAGGGACCAAAAAGGCAATGGCTGAAGAGCTGGGTTAAGGAACGAGGACAAAGGTCTGAAACTCAGGACCCAAATATGGGTTGGGATTATTATTGGAGAGTCCGAGGCTCACAGAATCAGTATGTCAAGAAGCGGTTCTATCACTAAATGTGAGGGTCTTGCCATGACCAATGACCCAAGTGCTGGTTAAGCTAGAATATCAACTTGACTGGATTGAGTGATGCCCGGGAGACGGGGAAAGTATACTCCTGGGTATGTCTGTGAGGGTGCTGCAGAGATGATTGACACATGGAACGTCAAATAAAGTGGGAAGACCCGCCCTGAATGCAATGGTGCGATATTTGATGAGCTTGGAAGGAACAAAGGTAGAAAAGGGAAGAGGCCCTACTAGGGAAGATGTGAAGGTGCCCCCTCTCATTATCCCTCCCTCCCTCCCCTCCCTCCCTCCCTCCCTCCTTCGCTCTCCATCCTGCACCACCATACACAGTCACAGGAAAAGCAGAACCAAGTGATTGTGGAGCAAAATCTCTGAAGCCATGAGCCAAAAGTAACTTTCTACATCTTGTTTTCCTAAATATTTGTCACATGAATGGAAATCTAACTCACACAAGCCGAGTAATACTCTTAGTAGCACATGGTCATTAGAACTCCTGTACTGTATTAGATTCAGTGCCTGAATCTAAATAGTCGTGACCATAGCCATTGGGTCCACAAAACTAAAACACTGGCCCACCCCAGAAAACATTTTTTCTAGCACATGACACGCTCTCAAAGAAGAACTTGAATGTGAGAAGGGGTCGGAAAGGCAAACGTGGTTTCCATACATTCAGCTTGAACCAGCTGGGGGCTGGAAAGGAAGCGCCGTATCTCACCTGTGTGCTCTGGCAGGACCCAGCTCCCGGCAGGTCGTCTCTCTTCCCCAGCTGTTGGTACCAAAGGTCTCAGTGGCCAGATGTTGGCCCAGCTTCTCTGAAGGTCCATCCTGGGCTGGGACCAAGAGACTGCTTTGGGGCTCTGTCCTGCAGGGGAGGAAATACGAAGGTAGAAGTGTTAGGGTATTTGGAGTCAATTCATTAACTAGTCAGACCTAAGGTTTTCTTGCCTCCTTGCTAGCCTGAGATCATGAGGTTATCACTGGCCTTTTTTCTCTATGAGTGGAGTCAAGGGCCATTTCCAGTTCAAGGCAGCCAAGATCCACACATCTTCTCCGCCTTTCTCTCTTTCTGCCTCAGTGACTTTGCATACCATGTACTCCGAAAGTTGAAGCCACTTGGAGGAGGAGAGACGTTGGAACTTTAATGATTTTATAAGAGAGAAATGGACTAGGTTAAGTTGCTCACATCCTCTTTCAAGATGATAGAAACTGAAGCATGGAAGGAGTAGTTTAACCCCCTTTGTCCACTCTTTTTTTTTGTTTAGACTCTATTTCTTTGTCCTCTCTTACCTGTAGCCCCCCCTCCCCCCATAAACCAGTAGTCATAAACCAAGCTCCAAAATATTCCAAAAATATTAAATGGAAAAATTCCATAAACATATCATAAGTATAAACCCTTACTTCTCTGAGTAGCCCAGTGAAACCTTGCACTGCCCTGTTATCTCCTGCTTGGGACATGAACCATCCTTTTACCCAACATATCCATGCTGTATATGCTACCCAACTGTGATTCACTTAGTCGTTATCTTTAGCAGATTGACTGACATAGTACTAGATCACTGTGTCTAAGTCACCCCTTTTGGATTTAAAAATGGCCCCAAGGTATAAGAGAATGACACTGGACATTTGAATATACCAAAGGGAAGACATCGGCGTTTTCATTTTATGAGACAGTATAAGCACAGTACGATATTTTTAAGAGTGAAATCACACCTACAGAGTGTTATTCCTCCATTATCATTGTTCATCTCATGTGATACCTAATTTATAAATATAACCTTTTCACAGGCTCAGGTGTAAAGGAAAAAACATGGTGTGTCCTAGGTTCCAGGGATCCACTGTGGTCTTTGATAATATTCTTTTTTTTTTTTTTTTTTTTTTTTTTTTTTTTTT